ATGACCACATAAATTTCATTGAGCTACCATATCAAATTTATCCTGCTTTTTTCACCATTTGGTTAAAGTTAAGAAATAACTTTCTGCTTGTAGCATTTTTCAATAGCTTCCAATGCACATATTTTATAAAATGAGTTTATTGAATCATATTTTAAGAACATATTATTAGCTTTTAAGATACACTGTTTTCAAATAATGCTTCTTTTTAAAAAGATTTATTTAGTTACCTGAAAGAGTTACACAGAGAGAAGGGGAGAGAGAGAGAGAAAGAGAAAGAGAAATGTTCCATCTGCTGGTTTACTCCCCAGATGGCTGCAATGCCTGGCATGGTGCCGATCTGAGGCCAGGAGCCAGGAGCTTCTTCCTGGTCTCTCATGCAGGTGCAGGGGCCCAAGGTCTTGGGCCATCTTCTACTGCTTTCCCAGACCATAGCAGAGAGCTGGATCGGAAGTGGAGCAGCCAAGACAAGAACCAGCGCCCATATGGGATGCCGGCACTTCTGGTGGTGGCTTTACCCACTACGCCACAGTGCCGGCCCCCAAATAATGCTTTTAAGAGATATTCTACAACTTTCAAAATTGCCCAAATAGTCCATATTACTGCTAATTTAAATGAGTTAGTTGTACTTAAGTGTTATTTCAATATTTTTTGGATATTAGCAGTGTCTCTTTAGTATTTGTAATTCTCCTAATTGTATATATTTCTATATGCCATCAGGTTTTTATTAACATAAATATTAAATCTTTGCCATCTTTGAAAAAAATAATTTTATTAATCTATTTTTTTGCCTTTCAAAAAAACATAACAAATCACAGAGTTAAAAATGAAGATATTTGGCTAGAAATGACCACAATTAAAGTTATGGTCTTTTCCACCCTGCCTCCTTCTATTCCTGCTCACCCCCACCCCCATCTTCAATAGTCACTTGGTTCATTTCTGTTTCTTGGGATCTAGATTCACTTGTTCCTCATGTTGTGTTTTCTTGAATCTGTCTTCCCAAGGTTTCCATACAGTCTGCAAGATTCTGCTCCTTACCTCTATATAATATCCTTGTATTCCATAAGGCCATGTTTCCCAAACTGGGGTACAAGGTAGGATACTATTAATGGAATATAAAATAACTTAAATACTACATAGACTAGCATTTTAGAAACTAGTGACATACTCTAATGTCTATTTCATATTTATATCAAGCTACTTGTGTGAGCAGCATTTATATGTATAATTATATGTACATAAATATATAATTATGCATGTCATTTTTACATATTTAAAGAATTTTGTTTGATTTTTCTCGTGTGGTAAAGCACAGAAGTGGACAATCAAAACTGAACCAGGAGCACTCTAGAGCTGCTAAGGACACACATTCCCTTTGTCTTGCTTCTCTGCCATCCTTGGCACAAGGCTTTCACCTCAGGGTTCAACATGGTGTCTCAGATAGATGGCAATGTATTCTAGAGTTAGGGAACCATGTGTCAAGGAGGAGTCTGTGATTTTAAATGTAGCCATGCTGAGTTTGAGCTGATGTTCAGATCAGCAGAGGCAGTGTCAGGCTAGAGTGTGGCACCGAGAGGGGAGGGCTACACTGGAGAGGTCCATGTGGGGATCTCCTGCATAGATGTGGTCATGGAAACCACTGGCATAGGTGAGAAGGCTTAGAAAGTCCAGAGTAAAGGAAACTGAGCCTCCAAACAAAAAACCTACCTGGATTAATGGGTATATAGGAAACAATTAACCTATGGAGGTAAAAAAAAAAAAATGAGCAGCTAGAGATGCAGAATAAATGAAAACCAATGGTATGAAAAGTAGTAAATTATTGTGAAATAGATGCCAAGAGAAGAAATCCTTTGAGAAGGAAACCAAACTGCTTCAATCCAAGTAAGATACAGGCTGAAACAAATCCATTGTCCTGGCAATGGGTGACCTTGGGGACATTGTTGGATGAAAGTGCCAGTTCTTGACTGCAGTGAGTTGGGGAGTGGGGAGCTGATGTAGACAGCAGAACAGGACTTTGGTGAATGGCGTGGCTGCTCCTGGGAAGGAATATTAGCAGGATGTCACTCTTTCAGGCTTCAGGTTAACAGTCAGGTCTTTGGGTTTTGTTTTGTGTACAAATGAACACAGTGGAAAGCCAGTGAGATGAACTCAATTACAGTGGTAGGTGAAATACACAAGAGGGTGGATGTGGGAAAGGGTGGGAGCCAGGCTACCAGCAGTAGAGATAGACTTTAGGAGGAAGACAAGCCCTTCTACTGCAGGCAGGTGAAGTAAGGTGCATTGAATGAAAGGGAGTTGAGGGAGTTGAAGCGTGCAGTGAGGGAGAGGTACATGGCAGGTCCTTCCTGGGTTTGTTTGCATAATTTTTCAGGCCTGTGAACATTTTCTATTGTCTCCAGTGAGAGGCAGAGGAGGGAATCAGAACAGTAGTTTTGGCAGGCGACTGTTTTCTAAGACACAGAACCTGACTCATGGTTTAAATGAGTATTATATGACAGGTTTTATATATTTTTAAAAATTTATAATAAATTCTTGCACTCTAGACATTACCTCACTGTCTCAGCAAAAGTATTGCTATTTTTCTCATTCATTTTGATGATTTTTACTTTTCCCTGTGGAAGAAGGGATTATATGGTGCAATGGCCATATTTTTTTCCCTACTGTGATTCAAGCCTCTCAGGATTGAAAACATAATATCTTTCTCTTAATTTTATTTTACTCACCCACCTGATTCTTTTAAGTATTGCCTCCTGTCAGTTTATCTACATAATGTCTTTCTGTCCCTCTATGAATTTCTGTGCCCTGAATTTTTTTTAAGCTTTCTTACTCTCAAGGTTTACAGGGTAGATTTAGACACTTATTAAAAATCAGAGTTACAGAGAGGAAGATACAGAGAAAGAAATATCTTCCATCTACTGGTTCATTCCGAAGATGGCTGCAACAGCCTGGGCTGGGCAAGGCTGAAGCCAGGAGCTTCTTCTGTTACCCATGTGGGTAATAGGGGCCCAAGAACTTGTGCCATCTCCTACTGCTTTTCCCAGGCCATTGGCAGGGAGCTAGATCAGAAGTGGAGCAGCCAGGACATGAACTGGTGCCCTTCTGGGATGATGGCATTGCAGGTGGTGGCTTTATGCACTATGCCACAACGCTGATCCCAAGTGTTCTTTCAAACATTAGAAACGTGGCCCCAGTGTGGCTATGTTGAATTTTGTCACGTCTTAGTGAAGCTATTCATCTTTGGCATAATCCAGGTTCACAAACACACATACACACATGCAGAGGCTTGTCCAAATCTGCACCTTTAATCCACTACCAAGGACTCCTATTTCACAGGGTCTCCCTCATGAGCACCTTTTTCCTGTATCTTACCTGGACCAGTGACTTGCTGGAGAAATGCCATAACCGGAGGAATGAATTTGTCTTGTGGCACCTGCTGTCTTTGAAATGCAGCCTCTGTGATCTTAGATAAGTCCCTGGACCTCTGTACAAGCCTGTGCTTCCATCAGCAGGCTCCCACTGGATGACATATACAGAGGAAGGCGCCTCACTGGTTACCCACACTGTCCCCTATCTCTGCCACTCTCTGAAAGTGCCTTTAGTGGCCCCCACTCTCAGCAATTTGTATCAGTCCAAAGTTGGCGCATTACATTTTTTAGGTTAGTATAAGGATGCTTTATTTTAAAAGTAAATCATTAACATGCCCAGGAGATCCACCAGTAACAGCAGATGTTACCTGAGAAAATGGGTGAGGGTGGGCCAGCGCTGTGGCTCAGTAGGCTAATCCTCCACCTGTGGTGCCAGCACACCGAGTTCTAGTCCTGGTCGGGGAGCCAGATTCTGTCCTGGTTGCCCTTCTTCCAGTCTAGCTCTCTGCTGTGGCCTGGGAGTGCAGTAGAGGATGGCCCAAGTGCTTGGGCCCTGCGCCTGCATGGGAGACCAGCAGGAAGCATCTGGCTCCTGGCTTTGGATTGGCACGCACGGTGCGCCGGCCACAGCGGCCACTGGCCACTGGAGGGTGAACCAATGGTAAAGGAAGACCTTTCTCTCTGTTTCTCTCTCACTGTCCACTCTGCCTGTCCAAAAAAAAAAAAAAAAATGGGTGAGGGTGATCTTTTTTTAAAAAACAGACATGGTATCAAATGATTTAATTTAGCTTATTTTATTAAACATTTACAATTCTTCTTTTTTCAGCCAAAACAGAAGAATGCAAGCAAACTGTGTTTAGGTCGAACTGAATAGCACATAACATGCTCACTGAAAAATGGCCCCAGGTTTCTGCTTTTGGGCAAATTACAACAGTACCCAAGCTAGGCCAAAACATGATTTAGGGCAAATATTCTTCCTTCCCATCTTCCTGTTTTAGAATTAAAGAAGACCTAAGTAAGTTGAGAGATACGCTGTTCACAAATTGGAAAACTCTACTTTTAAGATTAAATCAGATGGCCCAGAAGTGCAGTGGAGGATGGCCCAAGTGCTTGGGCCCTGCACCCGCATGGGAGACCAGGAGAAGCACCTGGCTCCTGCCTTCGGATCAGCTCGATGTGCTGGCCGCAGCGCGCTGGCTGCGGCGGCCATTGGAGGGTGAACCAACGGCAAAAGGAAGACCTTTCTCTCTGTCTCTCTCTCTCACTGTCCACTCTGCCTGTCAAAAAAAAAAAAAAAAAAAGATTAAATCAGACCTTTCCAACTGATCCTGATCCATACCCCTAATGCAAGCCCAATCCACTCATCTAGATGCGTTACATTTAAATGATTTGCTGGCAAATTCCAGCTGGGCAGATTTGGAGGCTTTGGGACCAAAGTGTGTCTCCCATCAGCTATCTCTTTCCTGGGACTAATTCTGATGTGAATTCACATTTTCAGAATCCCAGAGGCGTTTCATGCAAGAGGAGCTACTGTCTTGCCAGGACTCTCAGGGCAGAATTTGCTTCGGAGAGGGGAGTGGATTGTGCCAGCAGGAAGTCTCCCAGAAGCCTCTCATCCCCAAGAACAACTTCCAAAGGATTTCATAGGTGTTCAGTGCCAGTCCAGGCCAATTGGCCTATAAGAGACTCATTTGGTGCTCAGAATCCCTACTTAAGCCTGTCTCTATTTAAGAATCAGAGCTCTGCCTCCATCAACCTGAGACAGTCACCGTGGGGCTTCCTTTCCCCTGCTGCGCACAGATTCTGAATTCCACAGCCAAGTATGGGCACGCCCCTCAGCGGCAGGTGCATTGATCCTTCGGAAACTCGGGACTTCCTGGTGCCTTGCGGGCAGCGATCATTCATTTGATTCCTGCAAGGCGTCAGGCAACTCGGAGCCTGCAGCCAGGAGCCGGGAGCCGGGAGCCGGGAGCCGGGAGCCGGGAGCCGGGAGCGAGCTGCGATCCGGAGCCCAGCAGGGGCGGAACCTGTTGCAGGTTCACACGTGGTCGGGCTCTACCTGCTCTTCCCCGGCAGCCAGGAGCAGGTAGGGGAGTGGAGGGCTGGCGGGGGTGGGGGACTCTGGCGTGGGTGCGGGATGAAGGTACCTACTCGTCATGGAGAGCTGGCTTTGCATTTTGTGACTTTACTCTTTGGACTTTTCCCAGATCCCTTCCTGCTTCCACTGACTCCCTCCGTGGAGTCGGAGCGAGGGTGCCAGTTTGTTCCTGCCAGTGGGGGGTGCCCGGCCCCGCCTCTCTACACTGTGCGGGAAAAGGATGCGGGACAAGGGGAATGGCGCTTGTTACTGCTCAGTGTCCCCCCAGCTCCTCTCCAGGGCCGAGCTGCACTGGCTTTGTTGGAGTTGCAGGATGCTAGGAGCATTTTCTCTCCCCACTTCTTCCGCTGTAGCTCTGGGGGGCGGGGGTCTGGGCACACCTGACGCTTCCTCTTGCACGGTCCCTGTTGGCAGAAAGGCTAAACTGCAAGCCCGTGCCTGGGTCTGAGCTCATGGAGTGGTTTTCGGTCTCTGGGGGCGTGGTCGGTCCAGCCTCTCTTCCTCCAAACCACTGGGCTTTTTCCAGCAGTGCAGCCCCCTCCAAGGTTGGAGTCTGGGGTCTTAGGCAGAGGAGATGATTTCCAAGCGCTCATTTCAGTTCAAGACAGAAACAGGACATAGCTGCTCAAGATAAACTAAGAAACAAAACATGTATCTGTTTCTCCTTCTCATTTCCCCTTAGCTAGATTGTAGATTTCTCAAAGATTCATTTATTTTAAAGTATCGTAAATACAATATGAGCTAGGGGACCACACGGGCTTTCCTTTTTGATCTAAGTATTCAAAGTTATTTTAGCTATGGATCTAAATGTCCCTTTCCTTTATACATCCAAGTCACTTTCACTGGATGACAACCAAGGAGGGGATGGATAGGCAGATCAATAGTTTTCAAACTGTGAGGGGCATGTTTCTATTTTCAACTGGAATCCTAATTAAACCAGAACAGTGTGTGTAAACTTATCTTAATAATGACACCTTAAGGTGCAGTTGAATCACAAAATTTCTACAAAATGTTCTAGGATGGTACCATTATCATCAACAGAAAGTTGAGTGCAATTGTATGCAGACTTTAATCAGTCTTTCATCTGAAAAGGTTGCTTAATAAATCAGTGACTTCTCTATTGCACTGGCTTTAAAGGCATCGCAAATCAGTGTGGAAGAATGGATATTGTAATAATCTGAAATGTGCTTGTGTTATGGCTTGTTGCTAGCATATGTCTTACTCGCATATCGTTATTGTATGTTTTGTCAATATATGCTTTCCTAAAATCCGTATAATTAGATAAGTTTTTTCTACCAGCTGTTTTTTTCTTTCTTTTTTATGTTTATATGCAGCTTCAGGAGTGGGTAAAACTCAAGCTTATGTTTTCTTTATCTATTTTATCAGACAGTTTATTCTTAATGCATTTAGTGAGTACCTTACAATGTATATAATATATTAGAAATCCACTGCTTTATTGTGATTCTTGTATCTCATAATTCCTATTAACCACAGGCTCACCAATATTCTTTTTTACAAATTTTAAAGGCTCTGGAATGTGTGAGTGTTTAGTTAGTATCACTCTGATGATGATTTACACCTAGAAAATTTATTAATTTATTTTACTTATTATTGTTCTTGTCCTTTGTGCGTATGATTTTTAATTTAGAATTTCCTGCACATAATGATAAATATAATCCTTTTTGCTCTGTTTAATTAAAATGGACATCTGGATGCAGTATGGAATTCAGAACAGGGGGAGCTTCATTCCTCAAAGCGTCTTGCACTTAAGCATGCTCACCTTGTAAAATACCACCCTCCACTCATTAAGAGGAGACAGTGAATCTAGATGAGCATTTGAAATTGTCATGAATCTTCAAAAAATTAGACATAATTTCACATTCTTACAGAAGATCACTATGGTATTTTAATAATCTTACCTTATACTTATTATTAACCTAATGTTAATAGCTGATGTTTCTTTCCTAATTACTTTGGTTTTCAGTTCTATCACTGTCGGATAAACTGGCTCTTAAATGGATTTTCTGATTACCTTGAAACTGCACATTAAGGGTCCAAAGAGTCCCTCATGTGATTAAACCAAACGGCAGATGGAAATAAACTGTCTATGCAATGAGCTCCAGCCATCATCTCAGCACACAGCTGTGCAGAATGGGTCTCGGGTTGTCCCTGCGCCTTTGGGGAACACAGACCTCTTATAGCAGGGGAATCAGGTTCTCTTCCCTATCAGGCTTTTGCCTCGCATGAATCACTTAACTTCTCTGAGTCCAGGTTTCCTCCAATGTAAAAGGAGGAGTTAGAATGTGATTTTTTTTTTTTTTTGACAGCAGAGTTAGACAGTGAGAGCGAGACAGACAGAGAGAAAGGTCTTCCTTCTGTTGGTTCACCCCCCAAATGGCCGCTACGGCCACACTGTGCAGATCCGAAGCCAGGAGCCAGGTACTTCCTCCTGGTCTCCCATGCGGGTACAGGGGCCCAAGCACTTGGGCCATCCTCTACTGCCTTCCCGGGCCACAGCAGAGAGCTGGACTGGAAGAGGAGCAACCAGGACAGAATCCGGCGCCCCAACCAGGACTAGAACCTGGGGTGTCAGCACCGCAGGCAGAGGATTAGCCAAGTAAGCCACAGCGCCAGCCCTAAAATGTGATTTCTAAAGTCCCTTCACCCCTCCAGCTTTCCCTGTTTCTATATAGAAAGGCAGAGAACCTAAAATAAGCATCTCAGATACCCTTGCTTTGCTACATGAGGTCTGCAATCCTGTAGGCAAGGCTCTGGGATTCTGTGGCATCAGTGTCTCCTCTGTATAAGAAGGAATATTAGTATGATCTATAGGACTGCTGGATGCAGTGCTACAGGGTTGGGACATGGGACACATGCTGTCACATTTGTTAAGACAACAGTATCTGGCAAATCTAAAGAGATTTCTGACTGTGGCAGGGAAGGAGATGGGCATCATGCAAAGAAGTCTGTCTTGCACCTGCCGGTGGCCAGACACCAGTGTAGCTCCTAGAGTGGGCAATAATGAGATCAGGAGAACAGGGGCTGGTGGGGTGGGAGGTCAGAGCCTTAGCATATTTTGAATGCCTCTTTTGGTATCCCCCTTAAAGACCCCCAGACTGCCTCCCTACCCTCAGCATGTCAAAATGAGTCAGGTTGGCACAAAAAAGTAAATTAATCTCAGTACCATACAAGACTGAGAAGATGCATCCTTACCTAGTTCCTGTGCCAAACTAAGTTCATCTGCACTTATAGATGATGATCTCAGAATGGCCACCAGAGAAACAGTACCACCAAATGATAATATTCTAGTCATTGGAAGAAGATAAAAGAGAGAAAGATGGAGGGATGGAGGGATGGAGGGATGGAGGGATGGAGGGATGGAGGGATGGAGGGATGGAAGGAAGGAAGGAAGGAAGGAAGGAAGGAAGGAAGGAAGGAAGGAAGGAAGGAAGGAAATGAACGAACAGTGAGGGAAGGAGGGAGGAAGAAAGGAGGAAAGGAAAAAAGAAAAGATAAAAGAAAGAAAATACAAGAAGGAATGTTTTTCCCTGAGACCTCATAAAATTGATTCTCCCTTGTCTTTGTTGCCACTGAAAATATAATGTTTCCACATCTTGTGACAATGTATTTCTTACATATTTTCTTTTTGAGCTCCTGAAAGTGTCTCTTTTGGGCAGCAACTTGGAGTCCTGGTTCCCTTATGTTAGTTACAGATTAAGTGACTCCCATTAGAACTGGTGTACCCTTCTCTGGTCTCTCACATTAGTCTCAGTTCATCTGTGTTTTCAGAACATTGGCAATTGACCAAGTGTGTTGTAACTTGGTTACATTGCTGTGCAAGTTAGACATGAATGATTGCTCAAAAAGAGACAGCCGTAGCGAATCTTCAGTGTGCTGTAACTTCATTTAACCCTTACGATTTTAGATACTGAGTGCAAACACAATTACTGTTTTGCTGATTAAAAAAACAAGGCTTTGGGGCAAGCATGTGGCTTGGCAGTCCTCATCCTGTGATTGATACTGGCTGTGCTCCTGATTCCAGCTTCCTGCTGATGCGGATCCTGGGAGCTGGTGGTGATGACCCAAGTGACTGGGGTCCTGCCAGTCAGGTGGGAGACATGGCTCAAGCTCCCAGATCTTGGCCTCGACCCAGCCCAAACCTTTGTGGGCATTTGGGAAGTAAACCAGCAGATGGGAGCTTCCTCGCTCTCTTTCTCTGTCTGCCTCTTTGTCAAATACATCAATAAATACCGATTTGTTAAAAAGAAACTGACACTTAGAAATAACTTCCCTGATGTAACCACGTTCAGTTGGTGGAGGAATCAGGGCAATGGGCTCGTGTCCTCCCCTAGCCTGCATGCTTCAGCACACGGGTAACAGTAGCTTGCAGTCAAAAGGCTGATCTCTGTGCCTGCCAAGAATTTCCAAGCAACTGCTATATATTTAGGAAGAAATGAATATTACAGTTTTGATGTGGGATCTTTGTCATAAGCAAAAGGAGCACCAGAGTGCTTCAGCTGGACACCACGGTGTCCCGAGTGGCCTGGATCAGGTCTGGGTATGGGATTCTGAGTGAAAGTCATTTCTGTGATTTCTAATAGTCAAAAAAATCCCAATGCACTTTGCTGTTTTGCAGACACAGACAGAGAGTCTTAAGTGATGCCTGGGAAAAGGGGTACTTAGAGGAAATATCACAAGAGGAGAAACGTCTTCAGTTCAGCCAGTAAATCACATAGTTGTCTGGGGCAGAGTTTGCCACCAGAAAAATCTCTAAGAAAATGTAAATTAATAGCTTGCTCTTGACCTTATGATTCTCAGCTTCATGTTTCAGGGCATGTCATTGCCAAGGCCACTGTCGCCTCACTAAATGCAGGCAGTTAGAGGATGCACCTGTAGAATCCCAGACGTCTCCAAGACAACCACCTTTCCCTTAAAGCAGATCTCGTTTGGAGTCTTTACATTTAAAGTACCTCATCTAAAGTCTCTCA